TGTATATATGTTCATAACATCACATAATTATTTATTTCTCAATGTATAAGGATATATATACATTGTTATTATATAAGAGGCTTCCACGGAAGTTTGACACTTATCTTCTTCTTCTTTCTCTTATTCTTTTGATATACATTATTATACATTCCATATACAAGTTTATACATAGTTATACATCATTATACATGCATTGCATATGTATAATCAAATTAATTTTTTTTCTTCATATTTTCTTACTTTTTCTAGAATAATTCATGTAGAAATCTACTTTCCCTGTTGATTTCTCCGCCAAATCACGAACTTGCAGCAATTGTTTTTCACTTTTACCATATAAGTTGAATCGGTAAAATTGAAAAAATGTAAGCTACTCGGTTCTTTATCTTGTTTACCATTTTTGAGGAAGAATCCTTTGGGAAAGGTTACAAACTTGTCTATGCTCACTATTTGTGATGATTTTTTTACAATTATACGTAGTCTGTTTTAGCCCAAACTCTTTATTGTCATTATATAATTGCAATTTCGCAAGCAGCTCGATCAATTTTATGTTTTGATTATAGGATGATATATTAGGAGAGATCACTAAAGACAAAGTGGGAGAGAAATATCAAAATTAGATGACGGAAGAATTAGAAAATCTCATGACTTCATCTAAATAAGATAATTGTCTTGATTAAACTCCGTTGCTAAATAAAAAAGCCAGAAAATACTCTTTTTCAAATCTTAGCCTATTATTTTTGGGCTACAGATTTATAAAGTTATGACTGGGCTATTATGTTGCAAGTCAGATGTGTGAGTTGTATTAATGTGAAATTATCCCAATTTTTGTGCCTAACATTGAAACTCGAGATCTCCTGTTAAAATTAGAGTGATCCCGTTTATTCCATCACAGTCTGTGGTGGTACCATCATAATTTTCATAGAGGAACCTCTTGTTTATAGCATAAGATCTTTTAAATTAAAAAAAAGTTAAAAAAAGAAACTTAATAAATGAGTAATTATAATTGGATATATATATATATATATATATGTGTGTGTGTGTGTGTGTGTGTGTGTGTGTGTGTGTGTGTGTGTGTGTGTGTATGTGTGTGTGTGTGTATGTATATGTCACGACCCAAAATCCACTAGTCGTGATGACACCTAACTCAACCCGCTAGGTAAGCCAACTAATAAATATCCAATTTCAATAATATTAATAAGACAATTAAACAAAGGAATTATCTGAATCTTATACACTTCCCAAGGACCGGTAGTACAAATCATGAGCTTCTAAGAATAAAGTTTACAAAGCTGATATGAATTGAATACACTTTCTGTTTGAAAAGTACATAAGTAGAGTTTTAAAATCTAAGGCTACCATGATCAAGAGGCAGCTACAACATGGACGCAGGTACATTTTCCAATCCAGCTCTCATCGAACATAGCAACATCGACATCCAAAATATGCACGCAATGTGTAGGAAGTGTAGTATGAGTACAACCGACCTCTTGTACTTAATAAGTAACAAACCTATCATTAGGTTGAAAGTAGTGATGAGCTAGAACATGATCGGGTTCAACACCAATAGCCAATCAACAATTTATAACAATGTAGAGCATATAAATAAGAAAGCAATTCAGAAGTAAAAATGCTCAGCTTTTTCACAATTTTTCGAAAATAGTTCTGTCTTTCAAGAATAACTGTGAAAACCCAAATCCTTTTACTAAAATTGTCAAAAAATATGAGATAATTTGAAAACTATATTTTTTCCAAAATCCTTTTTACAGTAGATAAGATGTTTCATTTTCGTTCCAGATAGAAAGTGTGAAATACCCCTATACGCCCACATATCAATGTACGTAAAAAGTCATGAATGATGTGATACCGTACAAGAAAAATACATGTCTATGCATGTATATTATGAGTGCATGCCAATGTCATGTATCTCAGTGATGAATCATGTACTCAAACTCTCAGAGTACTCAATCTCACTGCCTCACACTTTCCACTCATCATGCTCAACCACTCGGTACTGTATATGGTCTATACGGCCCAGGAAAATTCATCCCCGAATATATACAACACTGACTACAAGTCAAACCAATACCGAGGAAAAAGGGCAACCCAACCCCGTAGAGAAATCCATCTCCAGATAGTAAGTACTTCGGACAACTCCATGTCCAGGGAAATCCATCCCTCAATAGTATTATCCGCTCTCACTGGGGATGTGTTACAGACTCCAAAGGGGCTCCTACAGCCCAAGCGCTATCATAATCATAAATATAACCGCTGCGGCGTGAGGCCCGATCCCATAATTGTCACTTATAATCAGGCTCCCGACATCACTCAGTCATCAATCTCTCCAGTCTCACCCACGGGCTGACAAAGTCATGAAGGTTAACTGATACTAGGGATTATGATGCATTTTACACTCCTTCTTGCTTAAGTTTTGATTAGAAATGTGTACAAAATAGTCCCAAAGGCTCACAAGTTGTGCTTGATTGCAGGTTTGATCATCAAGGTGACAAGGTGTCAAAAACCAGCTCTAAAGGAGTGAAACTTGCACAAGTACCAAGACATCAAACAGAGCCAGTGCGACCGCACACCATTCTGTGCGGTTCGGAAGGATGAAGTTCAGAGACTATGCTTTTCAGTCCATCAGGCAATGCGGCCGCAAAGAGTTTTGTGCGGTGCGCATGGATTTATTGCGGCCGCACTCGATTTCGTGCGGTCCGCAGAGCTAAGGTTCAGAGAGATGACAATTGAAGAATTATGCCCATTGCGGTCCGCAATCCATTTTGTGCGGACCGCAGTAGAAGCCACCGCGGCCGCAGTGCATTTTGTGCGGTCTACGGTGGCCAAACTTCAGAGAGCAGAAAAGTCAAGCCAAGAGCCTTAGTGCTGCCGCACTCGATTTGTGCGGTCCGCACTAGCCCCGCATGGGTATTTTTGTCCAGAATTTTCAGCCTAGTATAAATAGTTTCTTTTTTCATTTTTAGGTCATCAGATAATTTTGGACGTAGAGCTGCGCTCGTGAACTCCTTTCTTTTACTATTTTGAGTAATTTTAGCTTAATTTCACCATTGAATCTTCAAGTTTTATTTAGCAATTAATTATTATGAGCTTATCTTCATCTATTTCTTTATTTTTCTCTTTAATCATGAGTAGCTAGACCCATCAGCTAAGGTTGTGGCTCAACCCTAGTGTGGGTAATTGATGAGTCTTATGTTTTAAGGTTTGATTGTCTATAGGTATTTGATATTTGGACAAATTTATGGTTTTATTGTTGAATTAGTGGTTGCAAACACTAGTTTAGGCTTTGTTGGTTTTGGCTCTTCTTGAGAAAGAGAGCCTAAGTCTCTAGAATTAGTCCAACAAGGAATTTGGGCGTACTCAAGAGAATTGATAGCCCCAATTAAAGGGTTAAACCGAGAGATTGTAATACCCGACTTGAACCTTAATTCCTTGCACAAATGTGCATACCCAATTGATCTTGAGAAAGTCAATTAGGGCAGAATCACTCGAACTACCGAGAGTTATATAGTAGGTAGAATCGTGCAATGATTATATCATAATCCCCGAGTATGACAAACTAGCCTTAGACATAAGAACCCGTTAATTATCCACCTAGGTGAAGGTCACTTTCCTAGTGTCTTTTAACTCATTAGAACATCTTCAATAGCTTTCTCTTAGCATAACGTAGCTCAGTTTAGCATATTGGTAGTATAAATTTAGAAGTTAATCAAAAACCCAAAAATGTTTAGAAGTACCATTAGGATCAATTCCACAACTCTGACTTAGATAGACACTCAATTCTAATTTCTAGCTCCCTGTGGAAATCGATCCCGACCTTACCGGGTAAAAGCTGCTTTGACCTCTCTTGCTACTCTGTAGTAGTATCGGGTTGGCTTTGATCATTAACCGGGAACAATGATATGATGTATCAATAAATAACAGCGGAGATTGAGATATGATATGAATGCATGAATATGACTGAGTACTAAATATCAACGAAATCAGTGAGATGACAACAAGAAAACGACCGCTATGGGTCCTAACAATATCATCTTAAAGCCTAGGCATGATATCTAGCATGATTGATAGCTCAGTTACTTTATCACATGGTGAAAACACAGATATCAACAAAATAGGGCCACTATACAATGCCAGGGAAACAACGAAGTCATAATTCATAGGGTGCACACCCATACGCCCGTCACCTAGCATGTGCATCACCTCAATACCAATCACACAACACAAACTTTGGGGTTTCATACCCTCGGCACTAAGCTTAGAAGAGTTACTTATCTTGAACAGGCCAATTCCAACATCGAGCAAGCCAAGTGATGCTCCAAAAGTGCCATCACACGCGTAACAATCTCCGGACGGTTAAAAGCTAGCCCAAAACAACTCAAATACATCAAACAATGCTAAAGAAAATAATTCCAAATGGTAAAGATCGAATCCTTAATCAAAACCCAAAACAAGCCAAAAATCACACCCGGGCCCACACCTCGAAACCTGACAAAACTTATAAAACTGAGAGCTTATTTAATTACTAGTCCAACCATACTAGTTTCACTCAATTCCGACTCCAAATTGATGTTCAAAACTCAAAAATTCATATTATGAAACTTTAGGCCAAAACCCCCAATTTCCTCTTTAAAATTCATCAACCAAAAGCTAAAATCGAAGATAGATCGGAAAATGGTCAAATATACCCCTGTACTATTGAATATAGTATTTAGAAAGGCTCCGTTATACTATTGGTACTTTTGACTCCCTACCGTTACAGTATTGAATATTTCTACCCTTTCATTAACGGAGGGGACACGTGTTCAATGCCTGTGCAATTTTCAGACCCAACTTAAATACCCATCTCACAATTAACTACCCGACCCACCCATTTCAATAACCCAATACCCAATTAAATGAAAACCCCACTTAAATAAAAACCCTTGTCTGTATCAGTTTTATTCATAATCTAACTCCTCTCTACACTGAAATTGTGTCCTCCACCCATGTCTGAATCCAGTTGTTCTTCGAAAAGAAGGTGCTTTTGTGGTGATATTGCCAACAACTTCACTTCAACCACTGTTTATAACCCTGGTAGGAGATTCTATAAGTGCGCGAAACCTGAAGTAAGTGATATATATCTATAGATTTATATGCCGTTTATATAATTCTGACATTTGTTACAAAATTCCAATTTTGTTAGTTTTCTGAGCTATTTTGTATTGATTTGGTTTGTAAGAATGAATCATGTGGTTTTTGGGAGTGGCAAGACGAAGTCTTACTTGACAGAGCTTTGGTTGTTATTAACAATTTCAAGTCGAAGTTTGATGTTGCTCAAGTTCAGCTTATTACCCTGAATAAGGCATTAGATGCGTGCAAGATTGAAAGGGAAAGACTGATGCAAAAAGTGGATGCATTAGAGGCTATAAATATTGTTGAAGCAAACAAAGCAAGAGAGTTGGAAGAAAAAGTGTTGAAGTTGAAGATGTTCATTATAATTTCATGCGCGCTATTTGTTGGATTTGTTACGGCTTTCTTGATGAAATGAAGCTCAGAATATGTAGCATTGTGTTGGTGGACATTATGTAGTATTTTGTAATGAAGTTTTTGATTTCATTAATTTATTTTGTATTTTGGATAAAGTTAATTGCAATGAAGTTTTTGATTTCATGTCCTTTGCGTCCAGTTCTTCTTACTTAGTGTGTATTAAAAAGGTATTGAATGCACTAGTTGCTTGCTATTTCAAGTGAACACAACTGCAGAACTGCATATTTATACCTGCTGAATACAACTGCATATTTACACAACTACATATTTTGAGTAAATCAACTGCAGAACTGCAGAACATACCTGCATATTTCCTTAACAATACCAACTACAGTAATTAGCACATAATTGACTTTAACTGCAATAACTATACCAACTGCAATAATTAGCACACAAATGGCTACAACTGCAGTAACTATACCAATTGCAGTAATTAGCATAACAGCAGAATTAGCAAAATAAAGACAACATCATTGACAATTGCAGTAATTAGCAAAACAAAGGCAACATCATTGACATTCAACATTAACCATCTAAAATGTACTGTCACAGCAGTAAATATATGTCTTGATAATTGGATGTCATTCTATAACCCCAAAAACTTACAATACTAAGTTATAAGATGACATCCATTTTAAGTTTCAGTACTAACAACATCAAAGACCATTAAATACTACAAACGTATAGTCGGATTGCACTAATTACATCCCAAAAACAAAACAAAATAGTTCCAAATTTGAGGTTCATTTTCCTTTCCTTGCTTTCAGCTTCCCAATCCTCAGTTGCATTTGCTTCTCTAGCTGATTCCCAGTTGTAGCAGACTGTCCCTTCCAAGTAAGTGATGGTGGTGTATATGGAAGATCTCTGGGCTCACTAACACCATTGGTGTCACCTGTGAAGTTAATTGATCTTGTCCCAGTTGGTATAGCTATTTCTTGCCTCTTTTGAAGTCTTGTCATAATTTCTGAGATAGGCATAAGCCTAACAACAACATCTTCATCATTGCCAAGTTCTGGGATGTTAGCATCTACATTCTTGCTTGACTGCCCAACTCTCCTAGTTGTAGGTGTTGGCATAAAGGTAAATTATATGCCTTGACTGGGTTAAGATACTGGAGGATTTGATAAGCTTATATATTCTTGTGTTTCCTCATCTATTAAAGATCTTTCCTTCTTTTGAGGTTGTTTTGCCTTGCCTTTCCCTTTTGATGGCTGTTAAACAAAGAAGATAATTCAGGTAATATACACAAACACAAATAAATCTAAACACAGCTAGATAATTGATGTAAATTATCATGCCACAGGTCATTGCATTATGGTCTGATTGTCCACATTTACTACAAGTCATCACCCTACCCTTTCTGGACAAAGACCACCCTCCTTGCCTTTTAATTGCTTCATTCTTCTCCCTGTCCCTCTTAACCTTTGGCCTGTCAGCCATCATCACAAAATCTGGTGGTTCCATTTTTTGGGAAGGTTCAATTTTCCAAAAATTTTCTCCTGGAACAGGCTGTAACTTATTTTTGTAAGTCAATAAGTATGCCTCCTTGCTAAACCACCAATGCATTCCTGTTAGTGTGTCTATATTCTTATAGAGCATAGCTGCAATAGCATGAGGGCATGGGATTCCACTAAGATCCCATGCCCAACAAGTACACAAACCCAAATCCAACCTAACACAATGTTTATCACCTCCCTCAAACACTTCATACCCATGGTAACCATTGGCATTGACTTTACAACATTGACCAATCTGTAGATACTCACTATATAATTGCATGCTTTTTGGACTGAAATCAGTAGTCCATGTCTTCACTTCCTCTTCATGTACCCTAATCATATTCATGACCTTGAGTCTTATATCCTCCAATATCTTAATTATTGTCTTGAATCTAGTTTCCAGAATCCAATTATTAAATGATTCAGTCAGGTTGTTATCAACTGATTGATTCTTGTATATAGTATCCAAGTAAGCTCTACACCAAGCTTAAGGTGGATACTTCAACAGACCGTCAGCAGCTTCCTTCTTCAATTCTCCTAATTTCTTTAGTTGATCTTTGAATTCCTCTTCCTATGTGGCTCATGCACACCACCAAAGCAACTTCTTGTGTTCTCCAGTATTAAATGATTTGCACCAGTTGGCCTCAATATGCCTGACACACAATCTATAGTGTGCTTCTGGAAGGACAGTTCTGACAGCTTCAGTTAATCCCTAGATATTTTCAAGTCAACCAAAAAAAATTGTATCAGCTAGTGTGCATAAAACAACAAAGTAAATGACAGAAGAAATACAATAAAACAGGAAATTTACTTTTTGCATGTCTGACATGAAAGTGATCCCTTCACCATCTTTGAGGTTCAAGGAATTCTTTAGCAATTCCATAAACCAAATCCAGATTGCCTTTGTTTCTTTGTCAACAACTGCCCATGCCAAAGGGTAGAAGTGATTGCTACTATCCTGACCAATAACAACTAGCAATATTCCCTTGGCCTTACCCTTCAAAAATGTACCATCAACACCAATATATGGTCTAAGCCCCAAACTAAAACCCATTTTCATTGCTTGAAAGCAAATTTACATCCTAAGAAATATTCTTTTCCCTTCAGCAAGTGCATTTTTTGAAAGATTGATAACAATATTACTTCCAGGATTACTTTCCCTTAATGCAATAGCATAAGCCTCAAGCTTATTGTATTCATCAGTAAAACTGCCCTCTAGAGTCTCCAATACCATCCTCTTTGCCCTCTTGCACTTCCCATGACTAACATTTAACTCAAATATCCTCTTCAAGTCAGCCCTCATCTCCCTTACCTTATATTTTGGATCATCTTGTAAATTCCTCTTAAAATATTGAGCTATTGTGTGATAGTCAACAGTAGGATTATTAAATGAAGTGCCACAACTATGGTCTGGATTTAGGGTCTTAATTTTAACCCTAGCATCCCCTTCCTTGGATACTAAACAAACAAAAGGGCAGTCTTTTGTGTTTGTGCAAGTATACCTAACCCTAATCTTGTCACTCTTTTCCAATTTCAGTTCTTTCTTATTGGCCAAAGAATACAACTTAAGACACTTCCTAGCTTCTGCAATATCCTTAAAGGTTATACCCTTATACAACTCCTTATACTCGTTAAGTTGTTCAGTTATGTCCCTATTTTTTGTGATTTTAACAGTTTCAGTTCTTCAGAATCATACCCATCAGAATCAGAACTAGAGTCAGACCCTATATCACTCAAGCTGCAATCAGTGCCAACCTCATCCACATTATGGTCTACAATATTGGATATACTATGCAAGGGAGGATCACATTCATCAACAACAAACAAGTTGATTACTTTTTATTCATACAAATTAGCTTCAACAAATGTCTAATACCCTCATCCCCTAATATCTCATAAAGTGTACCACAAGGGCCTTCAACTATTAGTTGTTGAACCCCTACATACCCCAGATTTTCTACAAACTCATTGACTAAATCAGCAAAAGATAGAAGGTCTAGGTCATACCCTTTCTTAATGTGTTGCACTTTCTTTGGGTATGGCACTTGTGGGTTACAAATCCAGTCACCGCCATAATTAAATATTAAGTCAATTAATACCATCACTGACTTTCTGCAAACATACAACAAAGAAAAGACAGAAAAAATTTAGAAACAATAAAGAATTCTAGCAAAAGAGGCATAAAAATAGGAATAAATATGTGAAGTCCCCCCTCCCCAACAATAAAGAAAGACAGAATTTGCATTTACAGTGGCACTATGAGGGTCCTCCCTTAATAAAGAATTCACAACACAACAAATAACCCCAAAAATGCCCGACATGCAAGTGATTTAAAGGACCCATTTCTATACTACCAAACAAAAAGTAACCAAATTTATATGGGACTATCTAGATAACAACAAAAAATGTAAACAATACAAAAATAAGAAACCCTAAACCACCTTTAAGAAATTATTCGAAACCCTAGAACACAAAACCTATACCAGCTAGAACATTCAACAAAATAGCATAACAAATCGACTAAAAAAACAAAAAAGTGAACAATTTCATGAAGAAGGATGGTACCTTTGAACTCGTCCAATCTTAAATCGACAAACTTCATGTGCAAACCTTCTATCGCCAAACTTCAGTAAAGAACTCGGACTTAGAAAAGAGAGACAAAACTAGGGCTGACCGGTGTAAAATGAGAAGTGTTTTTATTTATGTGGGGTTTTCATTTAATTGGGTATTGGGTTATTGAAATGGGTGGGTCGGGTAGTTAATTGTGAGATGGGTATTGTTGGATCTGAAAATTGCACAGGCATTGAACACGTTTCCCCTCCGTTAATGAAAGGGTAGAAATATTCAATACTGTGACAGTAGGGAGTCAAAAATACCAATAGTATAACGGAGCCTTTCTAAATACTATATTCGATAGTACAAGGGTATATTTGACCCTTTTCCGAAGATAGATTCACGGAAAATAACCAAAACCGAGTAGAGAACACTTACCCCCAATTCATATTGTGAAAATTGCTTCAAGAATCGCCTCAATCCAAGCTCCATAGCTCCAAAAATGCAAAAATGGCTGAAACCCTCGAAATAGAGTACGTTATACTTCTGCCCAGACATCCTCTTTCAAGAACGCGGTAACACCATTCCATTCGCGATGAACAAAAATATCATCCACCAAAATGCTCTACGCGTTCGCGCAATAAGCCTCGCGAACGCGATACACACTGGAGACAGAAATGCACGAACACGGCCCAAGCCTTGCGAACACGATGAAGGAAGGTCCTCCAGCCCAGCTCCTAGCTCGACTCTACGCGAACGCAATAACCCATACACGAACACGAAGAAGTCTTGCCCCAACACTACACGAATGCCGGACATATTTCACGATCGTGAAGAACAATTTGCTGTTGCCATAATAATACACTACGCATTCACAATACATACCACGCGGACGTGATGAAGAAACGCGACACCAGATACCAGCAGAACACAACAGTGCAAACTGAAGGAAAAATAGCCCGAAATCAATCTGAAACACGACCAAGCCCTTTGGGACCCCGTCCAAACATACCAACAAGTTCAATAACATAACACGGACCTACTCGAGGCCTCAAATCATACTTAGCAACATCGAAACGATGAATCACACCTCAATTCAAAATCAATGAACTTCAAACTTTCACAACCGATGCTGAAACCTACCAAATAATGTCTGATTGACCTCAATTTTTGTACACAAGTCACATTTGACATTACAGACCTGCTCCCACTGTCGGAATCAGAATCCAACCCCGATATCAAAAGTTCCACTCCCGGTCAAACTTTCTAAAATTCCAACTTTTGCCATTTCAAGCCAAATTTTGCTACAGACCTCCAAATAACGATCCGGACGCGCTTCTAAGTCCAAAATCACCCAACGGAGCTAACAAAACTATCAAAAATCTAATCCGAGGTCAAATACTACAAAGTCAAAACTTGGTCAAACATTTCAAATTTAAAGTTTCTAGTTGAGAATTATTCCTCCAAATCAATTCTGGATAACCTGAAAATCAAAACCGACGATTCACATAAGTCTTAATACATCATACGGAGCTACTTATGCCCTCAAACAATCGAGCAAAGTGCAAATGCTCAAAACGACAGGTCGGGTCGTTACATCCTCCCCCACTTGAACATACGTTCATCCTCGAACGTGCCAGAGTTGTTCTAAAAGCCATCAAATCGTCGTGAAACCTTAACATGCACATATCCCGGGGGTAATCCCAAGTCACCATATCCCATATTAGTCCGATAACACAACATAACTGAAATTTCATAATTCAACCTAGCCCATAAGCCTTAGAACCAAATTTTTTTCCACATCCGAAATTTTTCCATAAAATTAGAATCTCGCATCTACACACTATATAAGTCTAAATACGCTGTATCAAGACATATCCATAACTCAAGATGTAATCACATGATATACCACATAACTCAAACACTCATAGCGGTAACTTCTAATCACAGTAGCTGCTCAAAACAACCCAATGCCTGTAACAAACCTCTTATCAAACAAAGCCTCGTTCTAAAACCTTCATGTACTGCCAATGATGAAAGAAACACGTAGAAACTCATAACCATTCGTTCGATCAACCAGCCATGGAGCTCCCTCTCCTTCGACAAGGATTATAGCAAATTTCTAAGCCGACTTTCGATATTACTCTCCCAGCCATATTGTAATCAATTTTCGATAGTATTCATTATATATCCAATGACCCCATCTTATCCAACACGACCAGTCTAGTGACATGACACATCAATACATTCTAAAGCCGCAACTCATGTAATCCGTGTAACCATAAGCAACATTCTAATGTACTCAAATCACAGAAAATGACTCAAACGAGAGAACGGTCCCGCAAGCTCAACGGGTATCATCACAATGCAATACTAAGAACCCATCACACACCGCAGAACCAAAACACACGAATCTAACACAAAGGATCATACCTCTATATAACTTCGCTACAATGCATGACCCCATCCAAACATTGGGCCATTATATACCTCAAGCCCCCTGCTCAAAACTCATAACCACTAGAAATCCACTCATAACACAAAAGGGTAACTCACAGATCATTTCAGAACACGAATAAGCTCCACAACAACTGAATGGAACATCCCTCAACAGTAGTAGTATAGAGCCAACCAATCCGGTTCGGTGCATACACACATTCATATTGGGCCTACCAATGAACCCCAAATCAACTCTGGTCACACACAATAGATGAATAACCCTTTGAAAGTCCACTGGCTGAATCTTAACACATACTATCCTTTGGCTAACTTTGGCCACATTTTCAC